AGAACAAAGACTGTATAGAAATGCTAACAGTCCACTGTACCAGAAAAAAATACAAACAGATGTATCAAATTGCAGGCAGACCAGATTGTAAGCCCAACCCTCACTGGGGAAGGTCAGGCGCAAGATAACAAGAATATACACTTTAGCCAACCCTGAGTGTATATTCGAAAGCTTTTCATGCTTTTCATCTGAGGTGATAATATATGTTTTAACCAATCTGTGGCTGCCACTTGTCCCACAAGTTTATGTAGCCCAAGGGTATAAAATATTTGGGGAGTTGGCTTGAAAGGGGCCAGAGTTTTTCTTTTCAAGTCCCAAGTTCCAGCTTGGATCTCCAAGTCCCAGCTGGTAAAAATAACAAATAAAGACCCGTGTTTTCTAAACCCTTGGAAAGCCCCTCAGAATGGTCTGTTGGACACCTGCCGCTCTAGCGATTCAAATGATTTTAGGGGCTATTTTAAAAACTCATGGACTCAGCATATTAGCTAAACTGTAACTGTTCTTTAGAGAAATTCTAGTTATCAAGTAGTAAGGGGAAGGCCCTCTGCTAATATTCAGTTGTTTAATTCCTTCAAATCACTCTTGGCTGAACTCTAAGTCAAATTAAAGTATGTTCCCAAATTAAACAAACGCGTTACAAAAAGACTTACCTTTCACTCTTAGACATGAGTTCTCTAAACCTCCCAATGTATCTGTCATTTCACAAGGAAGCAGCAAAAGGTGAAAGTGTTATTAATATTGAACTTTGGCTCTTCTGGTGGGGAGGAGATGTTACTTTTCCTTTCCAGAAAAAAGAGAAAGAGAGAATTGTTGTATGTCTTCTTTGTGGGTTGCCGAGAATTGAGGTAAAATCACTTCAAAGCATCTTGATGCAAAATGTGTCAGCCCTTTAATTTATAGGGAAAACATAGCTGGAATGCTCTACGATGGTCTATGTTACACAACTTTACATATACTTAGCCCTGTAATAGAACCCTTGGTGGTGCAGCGGGTTAAACCACTGAGCTGCTGAACTTGCTGACTGAAAGGTTGGCGGTTTGAATCCAGGAAGCAGGGTACGCTCAAATGTGAGTAGATCAATAGGTATCTCTCTGGAGGGAAGGTAACAGCACTGCATGCAACCATGCCAGCCACATGACCTTGGGGGTGTCTATGGACAACGTTGGCTCTTCGACTTAGAAATAGAGATGAGCACCACCCAGAGGCGGCCCTAGGTAATTTTCATTGGTAAGCAAACAGTATTTTGCCCCCCCCCCCCCAAACCAATCACTGATATATATTTTCTGTTCGTCATGGGAGTTCTGTGTGCCATATTTGGTTCAATTCCATCATTGGTGGAGTTCAGAGTGCTCTTTGATTGTAGGTTAACTATAAATCCCAGAAACCGCAAGTCACAAATGACAAAATGTATGTGAACTATACATCTCAGTAACTACAACTCGCATATGTCAAGGTCTATTTTCCCCCAAGAGCACCTCAAGAACACCACTGGGCAAAATCAACCATACTGCAAATGCTTACTTTGTGTAATGGGTTGAGCCGCCCCTGGCGCCACCTGCCAGAATTGGACACAACTAGACTTAATGTCAAGGGGCAACCTTTACCTTTACTTTTAGAACCCTGAAAAGCTCTGTTAGTTAATTGTGATATGTGTAGTGGGAGACAGGCAAAAGTGTTCTGATATGCATCAGGCTGTATTGATACTTATTGGCACTGTCTAGCTGCAATCCCGATCCTGTTGAGCATTGGTTGTGTTGTGCATGTTGGTCCCAATGCATGTTGGTCCCAAAGTGTGTAGGCTGCATTGTGCATCGGGTCCTGATGAACATTACCCCAATGTCTGCCAGTTCATTTGGGCATTGGTCCTAATGTGCATCAGGTCAGATTGTGCATTTGATCCCAATGCACCATGGTCACATTGCTGGTTCCCCTACATTGTAATGTGACAGCATTTCTTTGCAGCGGATGCATCTTTTGGAATTGTGCAATTACTTAATTCCCCAACTGAATTCAACTAAGCACATCATAGTAGAGCAAGTAAACAAATCAGTCTTCAGTGAAGAAATTGGTTTGTTGATTAAATGAAGGAAATTCATTTATTTATTTACTGTATTTATACCCTGCCCTTCTCAACCTTGTAGGGGAACTCAAGGCGGCTTGCATATATCGGCAGCAATTTGATGCCAAAACACACACATAATAAGAACATATACATTAAAGCAATCATGAAAAACATATAAATCCTTAAAACCACTTATTTAAAATCACACAATCTAATATCACAGTCCATGGCCGTTCCAATTGTCATTGCACTATGCCATAATTTTCTTATTGCATTGATAGATTATTCACTGAATTGCACAAGTTTGAGGACCCCTGTTGGACTGTTTCTCTAAATGTTGGAGCATTTGAATGTAAAATTTATTTAAACCTTAATTCAGGTGTCCTCAAACTTTTTAAACAGAGGGCCAGGTCACAGTGCCTCAAACTGCTGGAGGGCTGGATTATAATTTGAAAAAAACATGATTGAATTCTTATGCAGACTGCACATATCTTATTTGTAGTGCAAAAGACACTTTAAAACAATACAATAATTAAAATGAAGAACAATGTTAACAAATATAAACTTATTAGTATTTCAATGAGAAGTGTAGGCCTACTTTTGGCTGATGAGATAGGGTTGTTGTTGTTGTTGTTGTTGTTGTTGTTGTTGTTGTGTTTTCAAGTCATTTCAGACTTAGGTTGACCCTGAGCGAGGGCCGGGTAAATGACCTTGGAGGGCCGCATCCGGCCCCTGGCCTTAGTTTGAGGACTCCTGCTTTAATCTGTCTCTTAATCTCATTTAGGGTGTTTTTTTTAATTCTTCCCCAATTTGCTAGCCAATCTAAATTTCAAACTAAAAGGTATAATCCCAGTGTCAACAATGAATGTTTTACTACCCATCTTCTGCAGTCGGAATATCAAATCATCCACTTGAAAAGTACATGGCTCCCACTGTTAATTTTGTCTATGACTGTGGAAACTACATGGCTGAGATCATAATACTTTATATGTTACATTGTAAATTATACGTAATCTCAAGAGATAATTACTTGCTAAGGTACTTGATTATAGGAATGACACTATTGTTTATTTCAATAATCATTCCTAGTTAATATATGTAGATCTCCAATGATAGCAGCACATCTCAGAACTGTCCCCTAGCAAAATTGAGATTAATGGATGGACAGAGTTAATATGTTGGACCTTGTTTTTCCTTTTTCTTGCTATGTTGATGTTTGTTTTGATATCTCATTTAAAAACTTTAAGAAGATGGAGGGAAGATCAAGTATTGAAGATTTACTAAAATTATTCTGCCTTTATTTCTTGTTCTATTGTTTAATTGTTTGCTATTGATTTTCATTTGACTGTAAACTGCATTTGATCGTCTGATAATAACATTGCATATTCATTTGCTGCTAGAGTTGCTTTTTTACTTTCTTGCTGGAGAGAAATAGACAGTGCATAGTCTTTCCAGAATGGTTGCCAGAACAGGCCTATAAATACGGAAGTCAGCTCTTGTTAAGCCACTCCCAGGTATAAATACCAAATAGTTTTGATGTCAAGATCTACAAAAATATCTTTATCGGCTCAGTTTGGCACATCATGTAAGCATACAGAAATAAATAAATTTTTGAGACAAAATAAAATTTAAAAATATGTTTATTTCTTTTCAAATGCAAGTTTATCATTTGCAGTTTTACATGGAAACAAGATGAGAAAGATTTACAAAGAATATATGTTAAACAAAATGATTTCCCATTTCCCACTTAATAGGTAATTCAGTAAAATCAAAGAGGAGGATTCCATTTTATGCTTTTTGTTATCAAAGCTATCTTTCTTGGAAAAATCAGTTACATTGCATGGTTTGTAGATGAACAGTTATTGATCAGTGTAATCTTAATATTTATTTATTTATTTATTATTTACTGTATTTGTATACCGCCTTTCTCAGCCAACAAATCAGTATACATAAAATGTAATAGATAAAAAACATTAAACAGTATAAAACATCATAAAAGCAATAAAAGCAACACCATCAGCATCTCATTATTCTCAAGCATTGTCCAATTCCATTGTCAGGTCATTCAGTTTCCTATATTAGCTACTCTGAATTTGTAAACGCTTGCTCGAAGAGCCACATTTTAACTTGCCTTCGAAATGTCAAGAGGAAGGGAGCAGATCTGATTTCCCTAGGGAGGGTATTCCATAACTGAGGGGCCACCACTGAGAAGGCCCTGTCTCTCGACCCCGCCAAACGTGCTTGTGGCGAAGGCGGGACCGAGAGCAGGGCCTCTCCAGATGATCTTAAAGTCCTCAGTGGTTCTTAAGGGGAGATACGTTTGGACAGGTAAGTTGGGCCAGAACCGTTTAGGGCTTTATAGGCCAAAGCCAGCACTTTGAATTGGGCTCGGTAGCAAACTGTCAGCAAGTGGAGCTGGCGCAACAAGGGGGTTGTATGCTCCCTAAGCGCCGCTCCTGTTAACAACCTGGCTGCCGTTCGTTGGACTAGTTGAAGTTTTCGGACCGTCTTCAAAGGCAAACCCACGTAGAGAGTTGGCCATGCACAAACATGTTGGCCATGTACAAACATGTGAGGGGAAGTCATATGGAGGAGGGAGCAAGCTTGTTTTCTGCTGCCCTGGAGACTAGAATGCGGAACAATGGCTTCAAACTACAGGAGAAGAGATTCCACCTGAACAAGAGGAAGAACTTCCTAACGGTGAGAGAGAGCTGTTCAGCAGTGGAACTCTCTGCCCTGGAATGTGGTGGAGGCTCCTTCTTTGGAGGCTTTTAAGCAGAGGCTGGATGGGGTGATTTGAATGCAATTTCCCTACTTCTTGGCAGGGGGTTGGACTGGATGGCCCACAAGGACTCTTCCAACTCTATGATTCTATGAAGGAGGGAGAAGGGAATCCATGTTCTTTTCACATAGTTGGCTTCCTTTGTGTTCTTCATTCTCATTTGGGAAATGGGTCTTCAACATTATAGGCTGGAAGAGGAGGAGGGCAGTGGTCACTGGGAGCCACCACACCTCCGCTGACAGTGTAGGGTACAAAAACCACTGGCTGCTGTAACACAAAATAATTATTCATTATAAGAAACACTGTCCTTGCTGCCAGTATTGTCAGTGTCATCATTCTTGTCATCTTCGGGAATGTCCTGAGTACCATATCACCTCTCTAGTCATCATCATTCAATTTACTATCCCCAGGTTCTTCCCTTCTAGGACTGTATTTTCTGTATTGTAGCTGAATCACCAGAAATTTAAGGAGGGGAGGGGGGTGTCTTAATACCAAAACTGTTGTATTAGAGTCATTCTGAAAGTACATTACGTATTAAAGAGAACATGACTAAATGCAACCCAAGCAGCCCAAGAGAAAAAGCATGTTACTTTCCTGCAGCCTTCTGCTTCTAAAGAAGGAGGAGATATGAAGCAACCCACCAAGCATTTCAGTAATATCTTTTCAGTCTCCAAACCTACTAGGAAAGGCTTACCTGATCGCTATGGCAGCAAGTTGCCTGGCATCCAAAATGTGCTGTCGAAATAGTGATGCAAAACTCCAGGAAAGAGAATAAAAGGAGCACGGCAGAGGACCCAGTGCCGAAAGACTGCAAGTGAAATGGGGACCGTATTAAGAAAACAATGCTATGTACCTCTCACTCCCATTCAGTTGAACTAAGGCATGACAAAGTGATGTAGAAATTACTTGCAATGTGGCTAAAATATCAAGTTGTTGGTTGTTGTTTTTTTCAAAATAAATCTATTTTAGGAAGAGATGAGACACATAGCAGTGACAGTTTTAAATCATTTGACTGACACATACATACTTTCCCCTCCAAACAGAAAATTATAAAAAAACCTATGGGATCTGTGTTTTGAAAAATCATCAAGCATAACATACTCACACATAACTTGTTTGGGAGGCAATGAAATCTTAAGGCTAAGATCCAACATCAGGACTGGGTAGCGCAAATCTTTGTGTGTGGAATAATGCATTAAGGCACAGCTTGTGCTGCATAAATTTCTTGTTCAATGATCAAATTACATGTCCAAGTGCACAAATTAATATGCAGATAGATGCACAATGGAATGCATAACTGAATATGAAACTGGATGTGCAACCAAAGGAGTATTACAGTCAACCTCAGGAGGGGAAGAAGATGGATATGCACAGCAACATTACACAACTAAATGCTCAAGCCAAAAACCCCCAATTGAATGCTCAAAGAAAGGTGAAATGGGATGCAGAAGTGAATGAGTAACTAAATGTGCAACCTGATGTGCAACTGAAGGCGGATGATTGACTCAGCAGGGAAAGATGCGAACATGTTGATGGAAAGTACACATCTACTTATGCATGTGCACCCTATTTCAAAGGTGTGGCTTAAGAAGCATAGAACACACTCTAAAGGTGTATCTACACTGTAGAATTAACGGAGTTTAATATCATTTAAATGGCAAAGAGTCATTGCTCTGGAGTCCTGGGAATTACAGTTTGATAAGCAGTCTTTGGAAGAGAAGGTAAAGATCTTTAAAACTACAACTCCCATAAATCCGTAGCATTGAGCCATGGCAGTTAAAGTACTGCCAGAGTGCATTAATTCTACAGTACAGATGCATCCTAAAGCATCATATAATTGAACAATAACAGAAAACATTTGCCTGAAAAGGTCTTCTTGAAGCAGACAGGAAGCTACAATGTTACGTCTTTGTATATAAAATGCAATGAAATTGAAATTCAGATGTAGAATACCAGCAGTCCCCTAGTTACAAACATCTGACTTACAAACAACTCATAGATAAGAACGGGGGTGAGACAAAAGGAAGTGAGGGAAATCTACCCCTCGGAAGGGAAATCCACTCCCGAAAGAGTTATCATGGGAAAAAAAGATGTCTCCACTGAAGCTTTCTCACCTTGTGCCCACAGCAAGCCAAATGGTTCAAAATCCAATTCTCACAGGGACAGAAAGTGAGATGAAATCTTTTGAAGAGGGGTACAGACAGCAAAACAAACACCACAAGGGTGTTAACCCTTCCCAATGCGAACCAAATCTTCTCTCTCTCTCTCTCTCTCTGTGTGTATATATGAGTTGCACTTAAAAATGTACCTAAACCTACAGAAACTATCTTGTCTGTAACAAAAAAAAAGAAGAGTTTCCCCACTCCTTTTTTAAATGGGTGAAACTAATTTAGTGATACTTTGACTGAAATACTGGTGCTTCTGAGAGAGTCTGGGGCTAGCTTGCCCTTTTGCAAATGTAGAAATGGAATGTTAATTGAAGTATAGTAATGTAATGTTATTTTGCAGCTTTTCAATATTTTGGTACATTATTTCAGGCTGATGTAGTTGAATATATTGTTTTGTGCATATTTACCATTTTAGTCTTCCAAAGGCAGAAAATTGCAATGAAACAACTTCAACAGATGATTGAATTAATTGCATGGTGTTGACTCTTGCCTTTTCCAGTCCTCTTCCAAAAGTATGCAGCAAGAATGGGAGCCATGCTCCTCAAACATAGTTGAAGGGCAACTTCTAGTATCCCTCACTGTTTTACATGCTGATAAGAGGATGCTGGGACCTGCAATCCAACAACATCTGAAGGACAGCACAGTTCCCAATCCTGCTCAACAGGAACATTCAGCAGAAAGACATTCAGTTCATGCAGAACCAGAAGCTGCTAGAAGCATTTTTACAGCCCTTTTAAAATTCCTTTTCTCATCCCTTCAAGGGAGCACCTTATTTCTTCATCTAAGCATAAGATGTCAAAAAGTGCTGGTGCCTCATCAAACTACAATTCCCAAGATTTCACAGCATTAAACTATGGCAGTTAAAGTTATGTCAAACTACATTAAGTCTACAAAGTAGATACGCCCAAAGATAAAAGCTGGGACTTTTTTTTTTCATCTGTGACATTAGCAGGGGGAAAAGGATTTGTGTTTCACATGCTCACTTACTCTTCCCATGTAACATTCATATTCACGGTCACAGTCGTATGTACAAGAAGAGAGAGTAAACAAAAGCAGATCTACGATCAGTAAAATGCTGCCGGTTAGTGCCATTATAGCACTTAAAATGTTCATTCCCACACTGGTTTTCACCTGAAAGAGACAGACACTGAAATAAATTATATCTGTTTCAGGAAAAGAAAGTAGTTGTGATGAATTTTTTGTCTCCTTGGATTGATCAGTTTTTGAGGATTAAAAAAAAAAAACACCAATGTATAAGAGGGGACTGAAAGGTTCAAATGGCACAGACAGCCTTCTTTGAAGACACTGACTTGTCTCGGCTGTTTGTCCCAGTGTGGCCACACTTGGAAATAAAGAGATTTTTTCTTCACCTACGGAGACTGTTTGCCTTCTGTCACCAGCCTAATTAAAGTAGTTCCCTTCACCTCCATCATTCATATAGGTATCTACTTGCCTTGGTTTTAGGTAACATGCTTCTTCCTGTCATTGTCCCCTAATTATCATAATTAAAACTCAGTACCATTCCCACATATTTTCCATTTTTGTTGCTATTCACACATAACACCCTCTTATTCGTAGCTATAAGGTATTTTCCTAGGCTGCTGCTTCTTCTTCTTCTTCTTCTTCTTCTTCTTCTTATTATTATTATTATTATTATTATTGACACAAAAACACAGTTATGTCACAGCAAATGAGATATATATGCTGGATTTCGTATCACAAAATCACAAGTCGAACACTTCCCAAGTGTCTAGGACTGTGTGATGTATTTTTTAATGATGCACGCAGATCCAAGTAAGGTGGCCTTTTGTAGTTGACAGATTGTGATTTTGTCAATGTTTATTGTTTCCAAATGCTGGCTGAGGTCTTTTGGCATGGCACCCAGTGTGCCAATAACCACTGGGACCACCTGAACTGGTTTATGCCAGAGCCTTATTATTATTATTATTATTATTATTATTATTATTATTATTCCCTGCTTTCTTTCCCCAAAGGGTACTTAAAGCAGCTTAACATAAAAGCATTAGTATACAATTTAAAATATACAAATATGCAAACATTAAAACAGAATTAAACACAAACAGCACAAAAAAATCACAGTTAAAGATCCATCAAAACATATTCAAAGTTAGAAACCACAGCGTCCCTGACTAAATCTTAAATACCTACCTGCCTGAATAAAAAGGTTTTAGAAGGACAACACAGAGGTGGCCATTCTGCCTTCACTGGAAAGAAGGGAATTCCAGAGTCGACGAGTAGCCAAAAAGGCCTGCTCTCTCATTCCCAGCAATCATGCTTGAGATAGAGGTGGGACCGAGAGAAGAGCTTCTCCTGAAGATCGGGCAGGTTCATACAAGGAGATGCGGTCGGCCAAATAGCCTGGAGCTGAATCATCTAGGACTTTAAAGGTCATAACCAGCACTTTGAATTGTGCCTGGAAACAGACTGGCAGCCAGTGGAGCTGCTGCAACAGGGGAATCATCTGCTCCGTGTACCCAGTAGAGGTGTGTGCAGTATCAGTTTCTCCTGTTTCATATGTTCTTTCATCCCTTTTGTTTCAAGCTGGAGTACAAAACAGGACACCCCCCACCCCCCGGAATGAAAATTAGCTTGAAACAAAAGAAAGTGGGAGTGGGTACTGTTTCCTTGCCTGCTTTTTGTGAGCATAGTTTAATCTATGCTCACAAAATATGCTCACAAAATCCCCCAGCAAACAAAAAGTAAACCCTTATTTAATCTTTTCTTCCAGAAAGTCATCACTCTTCCTTATCTGGAAGTGGGAAGCCTCCTTAAAATTCCTTGGAGAGGGTGTGGCGGCCAAGGCATTCTCCTCCTCAGCTCTTGGAGCTGCCACCTTGGGTTGTTGATGCTGCTTGCTGCCTGGCTGGGCACCTTCCTCTCCTCCTCCTCCTCTGTCTCTCATGTAAAGAAGGTGCCTCCCAGCCACCCTCCTATTCCTCCTTCATGCCTCTTACTCTAGAGGCTAGTAAGAAGAACAAAAGAGGAAGAGGAGGGGGGCTGGAGATGCCTTCCTTGCATGAGAGATGGAGGAGGAGAAGGAGAGGTTGCCCTCCCAGCATAAGGAGGACAACTGCCCGTCCCATCCTTATGATGGAAGGAAGGTGGGACACATGGCGACTGCCCCAACCTTGCCCTCCGATCCTCTTCCCCCAATCCTTGGGCTGTCCTCTTGCCATTATGCTGGGAGGAGTGCAAGACAGGTGGCAACTGAGCGTGCTCTGAAGGGCTTTTAGCCACCACGTGCCTTCCTTGAGCCAGCATCCTGGCATAAGTATGGAGCCACTTGCACCGTCCTTATGCCAAGAAGAGGGCAAGACACATGGTGGCTGAGAGCGCTCCAGAGGGCTCTCAGCTGCTACGTGCCTTGCTCCCCCACCTTTTTGGCATAAGGGCAAGACGGACTGCCATGTCCTTCTGTCAAGAGGACAGGGAAAATAAGGAGGGGCTGAGGTAAACATCCAGGGGGATGCAACTGGTCCCCAACCCTTAGTTTGCCCATATCTGCCTTAGATTCTTTAGCTCTGGCTGAAGACATGCGCTATGAGGCAATGGCTCCTACATTGGGGAAGAACAATTAAAGGGACACAATATATGATCTGTTACTAGCCTTCCTTACCAGTCCAGGAGTTGCTTGATTCTCAGCTGCTATGGATAGGGATCCAGAGATAATGAACTGTCCAAATGAAGAAAATAATAATAATAATAAGCATTAGATGTGGTCCACTTTTCTTTTACAGAAATTCTTTGGACTTTATTTAACATCACCCTTGAAAGTTAATTAATGTCATCCTTAAAGGAAGAAAAGTGTTATTTCTGTTACTTTTCTCCTCAGTAATCCAAGGTGTGTTACAGAGCTAAAAGCATGATTTACACACCAAATAGAAGTTTAAAAATGGGTGAAGTTCAAAGTTTAAAGACGTCCCCCAAAATATTTAGTAGCAAAAGTCTAGGAAAAGTAAATTAAAAGTCCAGTAAGGACTGGCTATGCATGGAGGACACAGAAAGGTTGAAGTGGTGGTCTTTAATGAGTTTTGCTTTCTGACTTCCTTGGATTTCTCTCTTTCTGTTTCTCATATTGGTGCTTGATTCAAGAAATTAGATCAAGCAAACTAGTCCTGTAACTGCAGAGGGATCTCTGAGCTTCTGAGTTGTTGGCCCCATCTGTACTGAACATATAATGCAGTTTGAAACTGCATATTATCAGTTTAAATGGGGCCTAGGTATCTTTAAACAAACGCATTATACTACTGAAAAGAGCAATGGCAAATATTAAAGGTGTAGCTTTTGTTCCTTGGGAAAGTCTGGAGGGGAACAGATATGCTTAGAACAGTGGTTCCCAACCTTTTCTTGACCAGGGACCACTCCAACATTAGTACCGAAAGGGTTACAAATCAAATTTTGGTCAACCTTAGATTCAATTTGGGTATTTTGGGTACAGATTCAGAAAACTGCATTGGATAGAACACATCAGCTCAAGTTTCTGAAACAAAACATATGTCATCCAATAGTTGCCATCTGCTCTCCCACATAAAACCATATGGTACATTGTACATTGTTTTAAGGCATCAAATAGTTGTCTACGTTTAAAGCCACCTTGAATCTCTTCTGGGGTTTAGAAAGGCAGGGTAGAAATGTTGTAAATAAATAAATAAATAAATATTTAATAATCTAGAGCTGATGTAGTCTATCCAAAGCATTTTTCTGAATCAACACCCCAAATAACCAAATTGAATCTAAAGACCAGGAAGGAACATCTACTGTGCTCTTTGACTTTCTTTCTATGCTGCAGAGACACAGATACTATCCCACAATTTCTCGCAGCCAAAAGGGCTTTCAAAACACCACAAGCTCACTGTATTTATGACCACTTGGAATGCAACCTCTTATGAGAGAGAATTCACATCATCCACAAAGAACTTGAAAGACAGACAAGGAACTGTTGCACCTCCATATCAACATCAACCAGAAGATGAATTCCCAGGACTAGGGCAAAATAGATAACCTCACCTACAGAAAAATGGAGAAAGTCATAGCTCTCCACACCAATAAACAAAAACAAAAATTCCACAAATTCCAAAAGCAATAGCTGAAACCGGAACTGGATACGCCGCGGACCATCATCAACCTGACAGACAGACAATTCTCTGAAGACCAAGTATCCATACTAGCAAAAGGAGGCAATTTTGCTGTGACCACTATAATAACTCCTTTATGCTATTTGGGCAGGGGGCAAAAGAATCCCACCTCCGCCACACCAATTATAATAACCAGGCAGATGGCAATGCGATCAATCCCACCATCTACCCCTAATCATAAAGGCAGTCTTTATGGCCAAACAATATAACTGGACAGGGGGCAAACAGATCCCAAACACTGTCCCTCCTTTGATAAGGAATTCACACCACTTTGGCACTTATAGCATTTGAGGGGATGTCTCCTTATTAAAACCTTCGCTGCCACCATAAACCAAATAATCAGGAACCCTCTAGCTAATTAGAATGTTAAAAGGCTTTTTATTCCACCAAGTACTGTGTATTAACAAGGGCTTCTTTGAGGGGGACCAGGAGAGGTTGATTCAAAAATGAAAGGGACTCAAATCACAAATGGCACTTGACTCAGGCTTAAATTTTAAAAATAACAAGAAAGGTTTATTGAATACAAGTTACAGAATAAAGTGAATGCAGGTTCAAAAGCTTGGCTGTTACAATCAAAGTGTTCTTGGTTCTTAGTAGCGTAACGGTTGCTTTGAGAGAATGGTTCTATTCTTTGTTACAATTCCTAAACAAAACCCAGCTATTTCTCCTCTAAAATAGCTGAAACCAGTCTGCCACAGCCTACTTTGCTGTGCAAACTACAGGCAAGCTGCCTATTTCCTAACAGAGACTCCTAAAACTCTAATCCTACTCTAACATCACCCAGAACTGAACTCTCAAAATAAGCTTCTCTCTTTTTCCCCCCATCTGTCTAACTCTGCCCCCTTTTCCAAACCAATCCTGGCTGTTGCTGGGCTGGCTCAGGCCTAGGCCACTCCCCCTCTCTGAACTGGAGCTTTTCCCTAAACCAAGATGGCTCCTGCAGCTCTCTGCCAGGCCTTCTAAGCTGAAACTACCTAGCCTGTCTCTTCCTAGGCCCTGCCACCCCCGGCTGGCAAGGTAAGGGATCTTCACAACCACCATCAGGATCCCAGAATAAAACATCATTGCCAATGTCAAATCAGCAATTTACCATCTCCCTGAGGAAGAAGAGGAAGAAGTAAGAGGAGAAACAGAAAAAATCCTGAGAAAGGCAAAACTTCCCCCTAGAAACGTTAACAAGGAAAGAAAGACAAGCCAACAGAGACCTAAACTCAGATCCAGATATCATCTTTCTTCCCGTAGACAAGGGGAACGTCACAGTAATCATGGAAACAATACAAAGATCAGACAAGTCCTGGATCCCACAATATACAAAAAACTAAAACAAGATCCAACCTCCAAAATAACCAGAAAAACTAACACTCTGATCAAGAACTCCTCAATCAACTTTGACATATGTCAACAACTAAACAAATCGGAAGCCCTCCTACCTAGGCTTTATGGACTCCCAAAAATCCATAAGGACTCCACCCCACTCAGACCCATCGAGAGTGGCATTGAATTCCCCACATACGATTTGGCAAAAATTTTGGCTGCACAGTTACAAACTCATGTTGGGCTCACTACGCACTACACCAAGAACTCAGCCCCTTAGTAGAAAAAAAATCAGCAACCTCAAGCTCAATAGCAATGACAAACTGATCAGCTTCGATGTGGTGTCTCTATTTACTAAGGTCCTGGTAGCAGACACTATTGCACTAATCAACCAGAAGTTCCCAGAAGACCTCACAACCTCTGAGTATGCCTGTCATAGATGCAGGTGAAACGTCAGGAGAGAATGCTTCTAGAACATGGTCATACAGCCCGAAAAACCTACAACAACCCATTTCCCAGGAGACATCACAGCTCTGTTTCACCATCAGCTACTTTCAGTGGGACAATGAATTCTATGAATAGAAAGATGGAGTAGCTATGGGGAGCCCTCTCAGCCCAGTCATAGCAAATTTCTACATGAAACACTTTGAAAAACAAGCCCTGGAAAGAGCAACAAAAAAGCCCACTATATGGTTCAGATATGTATGATACCTTCACCATTTGGAGCCATAGAGAAAAAGGACTAAACAAGTTCCTGGACCACCTTAACAGCATCCACCCAAACATCCAATTCACCATGGAAAAAGAAAATGAAGGAAAACTGACTTTTATAGATGTCCTAGTCATCCACAAATCCGATCAACAATTAGGTCACACAGTTTACAGAAAACCTACACACAGAGATAGATACATAAAAACTCCAACCATCACCCAAGTCAAAAAAGAAGCACCATTAAAGCCTTGGCAGACTGTGCAAAAAGAATCTGTGAACCTCACTCCCTCCAAGACAAATTGAACCACCTAAACTGGGCTTTATAGGCCAATAGATACTCCGCCTCAGACATCAGAAGAGCTGCAAGACCGAAAACAAGACTCTACCCAGAGGAAAAGGGTTCTTGCCATACATCAAGAGAACCACTGACTGCATTGGGAAGCTGATAAGAAACACAACCTACAAAGTATCTACAGACTCATTAAGAAAATCCAACAAATGCTGCATTCACAAAGGACAAGAGGGATCCTCTCACCTCTGCAGGAGTCCAGCGTATACCATGCAGCTGTGGACAAGTCTACATAGGGACCACCAAATGCAGCACCCAAAAACGAATCAAGGAACATGAAAGGCACTGCAGACTACTTCAGCCAGAGAAGTCAGCCATAGCAGAGCACATGATGAATCAACCTGGACACAGCATATTATTTGAGAACACAGAAATGCTGGACCACTCCAACAGCCACCATGTCAGGCTACACAGAGAAGCCATTGAAATCCACAAGCATGTGGACAATTTCAACAGAAAGGAGGAGACCTTGAAAATGAACAAAATCTGGCTACCAGTATTAAAAAATACTCTAAAATTATAACAGTAAATAAAGAACAACACTCAAACACAATGGAACTCCACACAAGAAATAGTCAGGGACAGCTAATCACCTCTCAACGAAGGATTCCCCCAGGCAGTAACAAGCCATGCCTAAAAATTGTCAGTGCCATCAAATGCTAATCAAGGTGGCCAGTTGAAACATTCACACCTTCCTCCAACAGACAAGAGTTCTTTCTCCCACCCTGGCTCCAAGGGCTGCTCTAGCCAGAGCAAAGACAGAAGGGCACAGAAGAGACTCCATTTTGTCTTCTGCCTGTATCATCACTAGAGGCCTCGCCCCCTTCTGGCTCCAAGGGCTGCTCTAGCCAGAGCAA